TTATGGAGTAACGCAATATTGTAATGCATTACTTTTAAAAGTAACTTTCACCAACACTGGTGGTAACCATAGTATTGTCAGACTCTGTTCCGTGTCTGTGTGTGTTTCCTTCCCCCACGTGCTCCATGTTATGATTATTTCCTTATTTGGTCTTCCTGTTTCTGTCCTGATTGTGTTATCATTTGTTCCAGGTGTTCCCCGTTCTGTTCCATTGTTCCCAGGTGTGTCCCATTAGTTTCAGTGTATTTAAAGTTTTTTCTGCCCCTCGTTGCCTGGCCAGTATTGCTCGTCTATCCCCGTGTCCTACGTGTGATTCCTGTGGTGTATATGTCTACCCTTGCTATGTGTCTTTTCCTTGTTCCCTGGATATACTTTTTTTAGGGAGTAACGCAATATTGTAATGCATTACTTTTAAAAGTAACTTTCACCAACACTGGTGGTAACCATAGTATTGTCAGACTCTGTTCCGTGTCTGTGTGTGTTTCCTTCCCCCACGTGCTCCATGTTATGATTATTTCCTTATTTGGTCTTCCTGTTTCTGTCCTGATTGTGTTATCATTTGTTCCAGGTGTTCCCCGTTCTGTTCCATTGTTCCCAGGTGTGTCCCATTAGTTTCAGTGTATTTAAAGTTTTTTCTGCCCCTCGTTGCCTGGCCAGTATTGCTCGTCTATCCCCGTGTCCTACGTGTGATTCCTGTGGTGTATATGTCTACCCTTGCTATGTGTGTTTTCCTTGTTCCCTGGATATTATTAAAACCTATATGTTTGAATTCCACTCCTCGTCTCCAAGCTCCTCACAGTAGCACACCGTGGCAAGTATAAGTGGAATAATTGACTCCGGTCCATTGAATTATTAGAAAATAATGCACACCCGAGGTGTAACGGCCACTCTGCGAAGGGCGTGCAATATTTTCTAATAATTAAATGGCCTGTCGTCAATTATTCCTTACATAACGCTTCCTCCAGTGAAAAAGTCCATCCCATATTGTCTCTCACATCAAAATACACAGACATGTTTGTTTAGAGCTGTTTTGGACTCTTTTAGCTTATAATCAGTGCTTGACCTGTGCATATTTCTCTCCTGATTCAAGCAAGATAACTTTTTCACTGGAGAAAGCAATATTATGGATATAGGACTCATATTTAGCTAGAAGCAATGCTTTAAACTTAAATGTCTTGATGGATTTGTTTCTTACAAACATGCAGCTTTTCGCTGGACTGGAGTGGTGTGGATTAGTTGTGGATTATTGTAATGTTTTTATCAGCTGTTTGGACTCTCATTCTGACGGCACCCATTCACTGCAGAGGATCCACTGGTGAGCAAGTGATGAAATGCTACATTTCTCCAAAACTTTTCCGATGAAGAAACAAACTCAACTACATCTTGGATAGCCTGAGAGTGAGCACATTTTCAGCAAACGTTCGTTTTTGGGTGAACTATTTCTTTAATAAAATCAAAACAACGGAGTTGCATGCAAATCACCTGAACGTCGCTGCCGTTGATGTGCATGCGTCGTATCATACTGCCTTGAGTCGTCACATCTGTCCAATAGATCATCTGCTGCCTGTAGTCGAAGTCCAACGCAACAGCGTTGTTCAGACCCTGGGAAAGCAATCATTCATGAGGAACCAGGCAAACAACTGGAATGAAATGTTATGGTACAGAGTTTGAAAAACTAGTGTCAAATCATACCTGCTTTAAAAGTGTGTAGTTTGAGCCGTCCAAGTTGAGCTTTCTCAAGTAATACCGGTTAGCGAAGATGAGGAACGGCTCCTCGTCTGTACAGTAAAGTGAGAGAAAATGAAGACATATTAAAGTAAAAAAAGAAACAACAGAACAGGACACTTATTTAAAAGGTGAACGATTTGTAACTAAATTCTGAATGCTTTTTTATAACGATGGATCAACATTGCAAATGGCAAATCCAGTGGTGAATTCCTTTGGAAAGTGTACTTTTCATATTTTCACAAGCATTTGAGAAACCCTGATCTAATTGAACCATCCTACAATGTAACATGGCCAGATGTCCTGTGCGTAACTATAATGGACAGATTGGCCGTCTGACTCATACCGGAGGTGGACTTGCAGACAGTGGGGTCGGAGGGGCTGAGCTGGAAGCCGTCCACACACACACAGCGGAAGCTGCCGTGAGTGTTGATGCAGTGCTGTGTGCAGGGATACGTCGTGGAGCACTCATCCACATCTACACAGGTCTTCCCATCATCCTTCAGTCTAAAGCCAGGGCGGCATCTGCACTGGAGGGAGAAACACATAAGAACGGTAAGTATCGGATTGTGATACCTGTTCATTTTATGATTTCACAGTGTTGACTGCATTTATATAAAGGAGTCAACAAAGGAACATTTCTTCTTTCCCTGGGGACCAAAGTTCTGCTAATAAAGTCTTTTTCCTACTTTTCAAATGCTTTTTATTTGTAGACTTCATTGTTATACCCTTGTCTCACACCCAAACTATAAATCTAAATATATGAAATTCATTTTCAGAATATGGGTAAATTAATACAAAACAAACAATACAAAATACACAAAGCACAAGGCAAAACAACAAGCAAAAAAAAAAGGATGAAGTAAAGTAAACGTAATTGAATATATAAATATATTAGGGCTGTCAATAGATAAAAAATTTTAATCAGATTGTGTGATTAATCACAATTAATCACATACTTATCATGAAATAAAGCATATACCAGTTATCTTGTTTAACAAATTCATTTTGTCATTATTTACTGTATCCAGCAAAGTAAACTGAAAGATTGAAGGGTGATTCTTACAAAACAGTATTTTCTGAAAGCTTATTTCAAGATAAATTTAGATGTCTTTACAAAAAAAAGGACACTCGGGAGACTCCAAAAGGACACCAAAGAACCAAATGATATAAGAAGTCCATATAATTGATACATTTGTGCACAGCAGAGCACACATTAAAAAATAAAAAATAAAAAAATAAATATAATAATGAAAAATATTTTTCAGAATGTATAGTGTATAGTATGTGTACAATAGACAAATCAAATTGCGATACCAAACAGGACCACATAGAGATGCCTAAAAAACCCTAAACCTCAGCCTTGAGCTGACTGCATGTACCCACCAGCACATGGATCCATTCAGAATGACTAAACACAGCAACATACACATGACAAATCAAAACATTATATCATTAATGTGTGTGGAAACAACGTGGATGTACTAAAATGTGTCCTGGCAAAAGTAAAATGTATGATCTGTGCGTCAAGAGCGCTCAGTATATCAGACTCACGGTGCTTACTGTACGACTCCTGTATGTCACTGCATCATCTTTACCTTGATTGCAATCCTTAACCAACAAACCTTTACTAGAGAGAAGCTGGTTTGCTTTATCCAGCCGAGAAAATGTAGTTTGTGTATCATACAAGCGGTCTGTTCAGAGCTCGAAGCATAATTCACTGAAAACGCAACGCGAGTCTCTATTCTCTCTGCCATCTCTGGTTTTCTTTACATTAGCACTGATTTGGACTGATTGTTTGAATGCATTTGCTTACTGGATCACTGCACTTTCCCGGAGTTTAGCGGCTTAAAATTATCTGATCGTAAACAGAGAAGCAAAATCGAGTTAAAAGGTTAGAATAGAAATTGTGCTTCAGTAATTGTGTTAAATTATTGTAACACGTTAAAAAATTTTGAACTAATTGCATGCGCTAATGTGTTAACGTTGACAGCCCTAAAAAAAATATGCACATACACACACACACACATATATATTCTCTGGAAATAAGAGCATTGACGGAGTTTTCCAGCTTTCCATGTTTTCGCTGTTATACGATAGGAGGCGGCAGGGCTTGAAGTGGGAAAAAAGAAGTGCTGGTACTATTTATTTACCTATTTATTTTATTAATACCTATTTATTTATTTATATTAAATTAATAAGTACTTTTTAATAATTCACAATGTATGTATAGTGCCACAATCAATCAATCAATAATTAAATAAAAGTTTTCAATACAAATTAGCACAAGTCAAGCTGCGATACCAAACGGGACCACAGGGAGACGCCAAAGACCACTAAATCGCCTGTCTTTACTACTATACGGATCCATTCAGAACATAGACTGTAAAAAAAACATGGACGTAGTGTCTGTGACGTCACCCGTAGGTTTCTAAAGAGCGTTTTTGAAGCTCAAAGTGGGCGGAGCCGGCCGTCGCCATCTTGGCAGCGCGTCACCGCGCATCACTCGAATCAAATATCGATTATCGAAAATGGGCAAAGAGGCGGGAGCTGGTTGCTGTTTTTTTCTGCTGTAAAGTTGGGCATTTTAACATGGGGTGTCAATGGGATTGACTCCCTTTTGCAGCCAGCCTCTAGCAGCCAGTTGACGAATTACAGTTTAAGTCACTTCCGTGTTGGTTTCACGAGAGAGAGCGGGAGGTTGCCGCTTGATTCAGAATCGCTAAATCTCTGACCACCGCATAATCAGCGATCATTATAAAACACTCTTGCATTTAAGCCAAATACACGCTGAAAAGAATAATTTTACTGACATCTGGACAAAAGTCACTATTCTCTCCGCAATCGCTGATGAAATCGGCCGTGTTTTCTCTGCATTAGCGCTGTTTTGAACTTACTGTTTGAATTCGTTTACTGGATCCTTGGACTTTCCAGGAGTTTACCGGTTTAAAATGATGTGATCGCAAAATCCTGCTTCTTTTCATTTTAAGATATTATTTTCGTTATAAAGTACTGATTCAAATTAGTAATCAATAATGAATTATTATTCTACTATGCGCGCCTCCCCTGACATGCTCTCGCGCCCCACACACTCCGCTTGCATTCAAGGCCCGGCCCACTTCAAGCACTGGGAGGCGCTATTATGCATTTTCTGAAAGAGTACTGAATGTCTGGATCAAAACCGTGAAGAAGCAGCAGAAACAAGCGATCGCGAATGTAAGCTGATGCATATGTAAAATAACGCAATCATCAAACATTAAACAGCATATAGATCAAAACTGCCTAACGTTACTGAATGAAATGTCGACTCAGGAAGTGGTTTAGGACTGTGAAGCTTTGTGAGTGTTGATGGAAGCGATCTATTCCATCTAAGTTTTGATCATCATTCTGAATCCAATCCAGACATAGTCTTTGATAAAAATGTGATTTTCTCAGCTTTTTGTTCAAAATGTTGCTTTTTTATGAAACTTACCCACATTCATAAAAACATAATGCAAGAAACTGGAATAAAACTTTTTTTTTTCTCTGTTCTTTTTTTTGACATGTTGCATGTTCAGATATTCATAATACAAAATATTTTTTTGTGTTTTGTGATACTGATGAAGAGAATAATTACTGGCAGTGCAATAGGCAAATCAAATAAACAAACAAAGTTCCACATCGCCATTTCTAAGGGAGGAAACAGGCATTAAGATGATCTAAAATCTTTACCTTGAATCCGATCTTCAGGTCATCACACAGCTGAGAGCAGCCACTCAGTTTACTGTTCAGACATTCATTAATGAAGCAGTTCAGCTCATCCGTCCCATCGCCACAGTCATCATTGTGATTGCACAGTAACGTCTCACTGATGCATTTACCGTTCCCACATGCATACGCCGTGTCATTACATTTCTTTTCTGCTTTAAGGAAGAAGAGAAAGAACCGTTAAATGCACTGCAGGACTCTACTGTATCCATTAGGACACTGCTTTCTAAAGCCGTTTCAAAGATACTCAGTTTGATGTGGTATATTTTATTAGTTCGTCTGCATTGTGCTGTGACTCAGAACTAGTTTGGCCCCGTCCCAAACGCTCTCTGTTCTTTTAGACATCCTTCACACTTTGGTAGCATGAAGCCACATAGACTGTTGAATAGATGGACTGTTGGATTCATACCAGGACCGTTGCAGTGAGGATTTTTGGGAGCTTCGTCTGAGTGATCGTGACAGTCAAACTCTCCGTCACACTGCCAGGATTTCTGGATCAGACAGCGGCCGTTATCACAGCGGAACTCATTGGCCTTACATGCAGGATACTCTACAAAGACAAATACAGACCCATGATCACAAACGATAGCGCGAAGTCGTTTGTATTAAAAACATGCACTTCTGTAGTGATGGGTACCAAAATAGTAAAATAGCTTCCCTGATGTTTTATTTTCTCTTATGCCATGCTCTGTCTGAATTCTCGATTCTGATTGGCTGGCAGGTGTGCATTAAAACCATTAAATGCACAGCTAGCCATGGATTATCCCTTACTTCTTCTATGCCCCGTCCACACGGAGACGCATTTAGCTGTATACGCATACATTTTGTATCGTATAGGCGTTTTATCCACACGGATCCGGCGTTTTGGGAGAGTGAAACCGATATTTTTTTAAACCGGGCGCCAGAGTGGATAAATTTGAAAACGCCGCCCTTGTGTTTTCGCGTGGACAGCGAATCCGTATATTTTCTGAAACGATGACGTCATCAGCCCATGTCTCGCCCCCAGTCAGACACCGCTATGTGACGTAACAGCAACAAAAACATGAACAAACACTGAACGATTGTCTTTTTATTAACTAACATTAACACAGATTAATAAATGTATTGTTCCATGTTCGTTTGTATACCGCG